CCCTCAGGGTATGGTCTTTGGTAGTTTAATTGACCTAACAACTGAAGCAAATGGTGTTTGGTACAATGACACAACAAAAATAAGGTAATCCGACCTTACAGTAGTAGTCTGCATATGTATAAGATACCGAAACTATTCGGTGAAAGCTAACTGCTGCAGGAAAAAGTGGAACTATACAGCAAAAAAAAAAAAAATATATATATATATAATAAATGTTAGAAAAGAATAATTAAATAAAAGAAGACCAGTAAATGATCAAAAAACTTATTCTTTGGAGGTTCTCAGATAGTGAAGAACTAGGTAATAATTCAGAAACTATCCAACGTTTTTAAAAAAATTTGAACCTCAAAACTTCCAAATGCACTTTTCTTTGTCCTCCATCCTTCTACTTTTGCTCCACTGCCAGCTGGTTTTATTTTAATCTACAATATGTCTAAAAAAAAATTTTGCACAGAAAAGTATGAATAATACAGCAACTAGTTTAAAATTTATTAATGATAATTGTGAATCAAATTTTCGCAGAAATAAAAAGTTCAATTTGAAAATTTGTTTTTTCTTTTCTAAAAAAAAAAAAAAAGAATAATGGTATCATAGGTTTAAGTTATTCAAATAGCACCAAAATATTACAGTAAAAATATCAACTTACCAGAAAATTTTTAGGCATTTGGCACTAGAATTAGCAGAATACAATGTGTGCGCATTCTGTAGATAAACATTATATAAAAATGAATTGGAAATGGTTTTGCTCTTTTGCTTTCCGTATCACAGCAACGGTGCCATAAATTTTCGTTCTATAACCATAGTAGAAAGACGCATCTGAGAATTTTTAAATTTGATTGGTTATTTCAGCAAAAACAAGCATCCTTTGAAAACATCTATCTCTTTTACTTCCATCGATTTAACCGCAACTTCTTAGCAGACAAAAAATCAACGAAAGTTCTTCAACGCACAGGAAGAGTTCCTGTTTTAATGTATGATTAACTTTTGACTTACCCGCCCTATGAGCACCTTACTTTTCTATTGTTCATGTAAAGCCGCTAAATATAATCATATTTTTATTAACCTTGTATTTTTTGACTATTTTCCGCTGTTGCTGCCTTCAGTAACCTAAATGATGCTTTCTTCTATGAATTCCAGTGCTTAAAAATGATATTCTGACGACTAAACATTGAGTACCTAAGTAGCAAAATTAATACTGCTGAGGCAGTACCTGCATAAATGACCAACTGTTACAAGGTGAATTTCAGCAAGAATAGTAATTAAAATAATTGACAACATGAGAGGTATAAGTGGGAATAAAAATAGGGCTAAAACATATACAGATAAAGATAAAATCAAAAGCTGAATACGCTTCTGAAAAAAGTGACATCCAGCCAGATGAATTTATTTAAGGTCACAAGAGGCTATTTCTTGATATAATTTTATGAGAAATATAAATCCCAATTTGTTAACTGTAACTTTTCTTAAAACCTTCTGAAGGTGGTTTGAAAAAGTTTGCCAACTGATCTGGCAGTCTCCCTATTTCATATTTCATGTTTGCCATTGCTTTCCGGTCCTGATTTGATCACTGTGTCAACAGATGTTAATCTTCTAAAATACTGCTAATAATATTGAAAAAATTAGGAATAAGCAGTTACTCAGCCAGTTATAAAGTTGCGGCGCTGTCCAAAACTGTCTATTAAACCCTCTTCTTCTTCGTCTTCCACCGTATCAAATTTCCAATACTTTGCTGCTGAGTTTTCAAAATAAAGCTGCATGCGCTGTTCACGGTGAAGTTATTTGAGAAATGCTCGGTGCTTCGGACAGATCTGAAAAATGTGTTTAAAAGTGATAATTTATTGTAAATTTTACAGGTAGAACACTGAACATCGCTATGCCATTAGCACGACCACTTTCTGTAACATACTCCCAGGACGACCTCAGACGTAATCAACGGAAAAATGCAAATAACGAACCAAAAGAAGGGAATCTGAAAGATGAATTAACTAAAAGACCCTTGAACAACAATATGATGTTGGCAAGGCGCAGTACAAGAGACAACCCAAGAAAATGGACAACGACCTATTCGCCGACAACATCCAAGTTACCGATCAGAGACGAACAAATAATGTTACGAAAAAAGCATGAACTTACACCAGTTCTTCAGCCGCAACTCCGTTCTGCGTCTCAAACTTCAGCCCAAAGTACCGGAGATTTAAACAGAAAAGCTTCACGTACCGAATCAATGACGGAAACCCCGCAACGAGCTGCTCCATCCGCTAGAAGAACTAAATCGCGAAAATTACGAAATTCCAGTAAATCTACAGAAGATTCGCACACGACTTCACCAGACTGGTCGGAAAGTAGCGTAACGCTTCCAAGTTTTTACGATAGTGACCAGTATGATGTTTCTGAAGAAAATGAGAAATCAATAACAAAAGAACCATGGAATAAAGAGCGTCGACCTCAGAAGTCAAACAGTGTAAATGGGAATCCAAGCGATGTGGATTCAGGCAGTGGCGATGAGTCGGTGCTCAATTTGGGGTATCCGCAAGACACCAATCCAGTATGTTTTCTTCTAATGCTTATCTGTTATTTACTATTTGATTCGTGAAAGTAATATTTTTGGCTTTTGACTTATGGAGCCAAATTTTCATATCCTACTCGAATAGAGGATACTTTAATTGATGATGGTCGTACTACATTTTCAAGTTTTAAGCTTATTTCAACCGTTACTCACAACCCATTTCAGAGTGATAAATGAGAAAACCATAAAATTCTTCAACAGTCTATTAGATAAACAAAAGAAAGGTTTAGAAAATTTGTTAAGTAGATAACAGGTCGCTTCTTACACTTTATAAATGGCGGAGCAATCTCGTGAGGGAAGCTACTTCGTGTTTTTTCATACGATATGGTGATTGCAGGATAGGAGTAAATCTTCACTAAGTTACGCGTCCGTCAGTCATGACATCGTACAAGAACCAGATGCTGAATCGCTGTTTGCCAGACCACTTACGACAATGTCTAGTTTGTCTGGAGTTTCTGCAAGTGAGTTTTTACTAATGTAGCACACCGATAAAAGTGCTAATTTGTTCCAAAGAACAAAAAATAGCCAAACAAAAAAAGTTGCGGGATATTAAGAAGCCGTGACGCGTAGATGTGCTATGTAGGTTAGAATCGTGGTTTTACTTACTTTACAAAAAACGAAAATTTACGGTACTGAAGGCAATGGAGGAAGCTTGTTTATAATAAAACTCAAACCAAGATTTAAAACAGAAAGAACAGAAAGTAATGGTTAGTTGAAGAAAAAGAGGAAGACCTGCATTTATAGTTGAGTTTAATCACTTTATACTTTTTCTAGACTTTTTGTATCTGCCCATTCTAGCCTTAATTTCAATTAAGAATCAGGGAGAAGATTAGAAAGAAGTTTCCTATTATCACCTTTTTCTTATCCTGGGTGCTATTTTTTATCACTGTATTCGTCTCTCTTCCTTTTAGATTGTCTATTACAGCAAAATAATTAATGCGGAGATATTGTACTTTTTTTGATCCCCGAATCTTTGTTACTCATCGTCACTGTATCTACTACTACTTCACAAAACTTATCGTTCTTCAAATCCCACATCTATTTCCGAGTTAAGCAATCTTTTTAAGTGATCATTTGAAGCAAAGAAACTTTTGAGGACTTTCCGTAAAGCTTTGTAAGCACTTAATTGCTCCAAAAAAGTTAATGTTTTCTGAACAAATGCGAAAACTATCACATCTATTACCTGTAAAATTGAATGCTTTAGAAATTTCTCGCTAGAAGTTCGAGAAAAACGGAGATCTTACTGTAGGTGATATCGTGATACTATCAAATCAAAGTTGTTTCTGACCCCGCCAGATTTTATCACTTTAAAATTTGTTGTTTTACCTTAAAAGATTGCGTTTTGAAGTAGGTAAGTTAGAAAAACTTTCCTAAGTCAAAATGTTTGGAGCTCACACAGCAAACCGTCTTATGGAAAAGCAGTAAAGTGTTATGGCTCGTGTTCGACAGTTTGGCAAAGTTCGGTACACGTGGCGCAAATGAAAGAGAGCAGAGTAAATTGTAGAAATTCTAGATTTGTTTTGAACATGTTTTTGAGAACTTTTAAAAAGGAAAAGGAGTATACGGAAGAAGTAATGGAGGAAATGGTACAAAAGGTACAGAGATGAAATAAAACTTTTAACATCAGATACTGGAAACTATGAGGAACTTGTGCTTGTAATCGGTATTAGCTTTCAGATACTTATTCACTTCTCGTTTTGCTCCAGTCCTTATCAAATGCAAATTCAAACTTTTTTGCTTCTGTAGAATAAGAATAAGCTGTTATTTTTGCAAACGTAAAACAACTGAAAGTACTGTGTAGACTGGCATTATAAGACGCCGTTGTCACTTGGTGCCTTCTTTTCTAATTCAAAAGAAAGAGTGATTTTAATTTTTGTTATGCTAAACACCTTCGTTTAGTTTTTAATTTTCAAAATCCTCTTCTTTTAGTTCATTTTTAGCCATTTGTTGGTGTTCTACAAGCGGTACAAAATAAATTTACGCCGCCTATAACTTGAAAGAAACTTTTTTTACTTCAAAGGGCAACCTAAATCTTGAAATTTAGCAACAAAAAAAAAATTGTTTAATGAAATGATTAAGGTCATTTACAACGGCAAGATTAGTATATCAACAGCAAAATGGACATGTGATTTTCAGTTTCCATTGAAGCTTGCGCAGACTGCGAACTATGTAAATGGGCTGCAGAATATGAGGAAAAATTGCAGGCTAAAAATATATATTCGAAAAACAGTAAACGAAGTAAACACTGCAAGCAGATAGACGCTTATTTAAATGATCATTAAATG